CTCAAACATTTATCGAGTCTACACCTTGGACAGTTTTTCCTTGTAGTCATCAAAATATTACAATTATTATCACCAACTTTGCACTCCAGGTCCTCCTACAGGCGATCAATAAAATATTAGTATTTGTATTATTGAAATAGTTTATCATTTTCTTACTCTCATAGCATTTCTTCTGAAAAAGCATTTACACGATTCACATGTGAGGGCATCGAAGTTAAAACCTAGTATCAAAATGTGTTATTTTAAAATTATTAATAAAAATATATTTTTATAATAATTACCGATTCCCTTATCTCCACAAACAACACATAATTTGTCATTTGCACCGGTAGTCATTGTTTAGAATATATTTTGAATTTAATAACTAATTACACAAAAAGTATTTGATCTATGTAAATATTTTTAATGTTTCCTTGACTATAACTCTTAGATATTGTCAATAAATAAATATAATATACGAAAGACTTTTTTACATAAGATTTCTCTGTGTTATACGTATGCGTATAAATTCAAGGCTGTGTGTACTGTTTGAATGGACGTGGATGATTATATGGATATAATTACTATATAATTGCATATAAAAAACATTGATTTGACGATCAATTGGTTATATCCTTAATGCAATTGACAATATCCAGCACCAAGGGCATTATAAAAAATTAAAATTGTGATACAGGTGGCAACTATCAATAGACATCAATTATTATGTATGCGGTTATGATATCATGATTATTTAATTATACCAAAAAATATATATTACTAGGTATTATATTTTATTAAAAAAACATTTTTAAATATTAATTGTAAAAAGATTATTGATTTACTTAAAATGTTAAATTATATGTTAACTAAAATTATTGATTAAATTGTTAGTTATTATGTACAGTAAGCCTAACATATGTTTTATATTAAAATATGTTTTATATGTAAATACTAATATTACAGTTGCGCAAATATTTGATGTCGAAAGTGTATGTTTTTAATGGTAAACTATAATTACCGTTTGTCTTTACTGAAAACATCATTGATCGAGGTTTATAATTTATTTATGTCTAAAATCTTATTTATTTCATCTTAAGTATTTCAATATTTAAATATTTTATTTATAGTACCAAATTTTTATTATACACTAACACGTATGACTAGCTATTGTACTCTTATTGTTAGTTTAATGATAAGAATATTCTGAATACGAAATATGTTTACAACAAATGTAAATTACATATTCTTGCAATTTTATGATCAATAAAAATAATGAGTTTGTTTGATATGTTTTTATTCAATTAATTTGTGATTTTCAAATACATAATAAACTGTTTGACTAGAATTAACTTTATTAACAAATAGTTTTACAGATTATTTGGGAATAGTTATGTTATACTGTTGTGAGACAATACTTCTGCCGGAGCTGTAGTTCACTTGACACCTGTATAGACCGGAGGTAGTCTTGTTGGCATTATTGATGGCTATGTAGCCTNTTCTGCCGGAGCTGTAGTTCACTTGACACCTGTATAGACCGGAGGTAGTCTTGTTGGCATTATTGATGGCTATGTAGCCTGGTGATTTTTTCACAATTGAATCAATGCCCTTGATTTTGTAGAAAGTGGGATCTGGTTATATAAATAAATTCAGTTAATATTGATTTTAGAGTTACGAAATAAATTACGAAAATATTTTTACTTAAAAATATGTCAATAAATCTTTACGAAGTGTTTTTATATTTGTCATAAATTAATTTATAAATATAATTTATATAAAGTCTAACACTTGTTGATAATTAAACACACACCAGTACAATGCTAACTTCCTGAAAGTTAAGCCCTAGCAACTTTTAATTATTAACTCTAATATTGCTAAAATAAGTTAAATATAGTATATTTATTTTTTAATGAGTTAGTATTTTTGGATTTATAAAAAAATGTATAAATACTTGCTAACAAACATCGTAAACAAGGTAATATATTTATACAATTATCGAGGTATAATTGATACATACTTCGGACGGTTTGGTTGTTATAGGTGTAGAATATGGTGTTGTTTACGATTATACTGAGACTCGAGAAGAATTCAGATTTTCGGACCAAAGTATAGTTGCATTTGAGGTCAAAATTCTTGTACACCTGTGATGTACGCCAGGCCTGAAAGTTAATGGTCGCACACCTGATGGCATACAATCCGCACAATACCACTAAACACGACAATAATACGGATCTCATTGTTTTAATTGTAATTTAATTACTGTTTAAATAATATTAATGCGTTTTTAGGTAATAATGAGTAGTTGTAGGTTTGCAATACGACTTTTATACAGAAAAGCACTTATCATTCAATGCAATCACAGTAACAGAAATATTACCCTTTAGATTGTTAGGAGATTTATTATATAATCAGTTTACGCATTATACGTGGGGTTAGCAGGGTATGAATTTTATAAATTGTTTTAAAGTACATTCTGTAATTAATTCATTACTGGTATTTATCATATTCTTAATTTGATATACTTATTAAAAATCTACGTTAAGATATGCAGATTTTACTGGATATAATTATTATATTATTTAAATATAATGTGTTGTCATTCAGTAGTTATTTCATAAACCCTTTCCTAATGTATAAGTTATCAGTCGATGTTATTTCGTATTAAACCTGAAATGCAATTCCCATAATAAGTGAATATAGTTATCACTCGAACGCAGTTTAGTGTACTTTTATTGCCGAGTAATGGCTCAACAAATAGACAAATAATTATTACTTATTCATCAAAAACTACAACAAATATTCGGTAAACACAGTGTTGTTCACTGTTGTCAAGAGTAAGCACATGTATAGGTGGTGGGGCTAAATCTTATCTGGATACTCGTATAAACAAATATCTGAATAGTTTTTTAGTACGAATATTGTCTATAAATTAAAAAAACATAACAACAATTTATGAAATATTAGTACTAGGAACTGAATTTTTCAGTCTTTTTAAGTCTGTGCAAGTCGTGTATGTACTTATGAATGTAGCAGGGTATATTGAAAATTGTTAGTCATTTTTATCTCTTTTAAAATAATTTTTGATAAAAACATATTCATCGATTAATTTGAAAAAATACAGAATAAATATAATTCAAATTAAGTATTAGTAATGCATTCATTGAAACTATGATTTATTTATAGAATTTATTCATAATTTGAGTCATATTTGTATTAATCAAAAGCATTTTGTGTGAATGTTTTGAAAATATTCATTTAAATTTTGTATACTTTTCCAAATTAATTGATGAATATATTTTTATCAAAAATTATTTTACAAAAGATTAGTGGTAAAATGACTAACAATTTTTGAATATTCTAAAATAATAAACTAATTATTATAGCAAAGAGTAATTCTAAATAAATATACATATTCCTGGTATATTTTGTTGAACTAATAAGTTTCTAGTATAATTACTCATATATTTATTACTACAATTATTATCATTATAGTATAATGTATGATTCACA